GTATACGAGAGCAAAAACCAAAGAGCGCACGGGAAAGAGAGAGAGAGAGAGAGAGAGAAAGCTTCCTTGATGGGGATATCAACAAGCAGCAACAACGGCACGGCGGACGTGCGCTGCGAGGGGGACAAAGTTCCCGGGCATCCCAGTTGGGCTGCCACGTGGCCCATCTCCTTGCATCTGATCCAACGGCTCAAAGCCCCTCGAGAGGGGAAGAGGGGTTGCGCCGCCAGCACCGCCGCCATCATCGCTCCAGGCCGAAGCCATAGCCACAAGCGGAAGAGGAGTAGGGTATCCGGAGACAACGTTGCCGCCTGGGGGCTGCTCTGAACCTCGTGGGGCCGGAGAACACTTGCCGCCTTCTTTAGCTTTAGCATTACTCCCGCCCCCGATACCGATCATCGGCGCGCTGCTCATTTTGGCGCGCATTTTCTTTCCCGCTTTCCTGGCGGCGCCCTTACTGTCCACGTCACCCCGTTCGCCCATCTTTCGATTACCATCATCCGCCCCCCCCCCTTCTTCACCAAGGCTTGCGCTTGTGGCGCTTGTGGCGGCGTAATTAGACACGCACTCCCCCAGCGTCCCGGGTCGGAGACCGACCGTCGCCAACCGTATGCGCTCCGCGCGCGAGCCGATCGTTTGACCGATCACCGCCGTGGCGATGGTGAAAGCTATGGCGTACTTCGGCATCAAGAGAGCTTTTCGAAACATGGCGATGAAGGGTATGGAGGCATGCACGGCAAGGAACCATTGCGGGGAGAACTTGACCACGTGTTCTCTCCACACGCCGAGAGGGACGTTGACAGCGAGGCAAAGCACGCCGACGGCCACGATCTTGTTGGAGACGGGTTTGGGACGCAGCGACCGGACCGCTGACGTTCTGGCGAGCGCCGCTCGGGCGGCAACGATCGGCGCGGGACAGCACAACTTCATATTGGCGGGAGGTTTCATCTTTGCCGCCATTAATGGCACGAAATCCACAAGAGAGCGATGCATTTTAGCAATAGGACAGCGGCTCTGGAGCCATTCGCTACCGGAAGCTTCGTGCGAGGACGAAGACGAGGAAGACGACGACGTCGACGAGGACGCGGCCGCCGATGTGGCTATGGCCGCCGCCGCCGAAGCAGAGGCGCCAGCGGCGGCGGCGGCGCTGGCGGCTCCGCCGCCTGATATACCATGTTTCCCGCGCACATCCAAGTGGCCATCGGCGCCGCCGCCAGCGCCACCGTCGCCCTTTGCTTCTTCGCTGGCAACCCGACGAGATTTTGACCCCATGAACCCCTCCCAACCGAATCGTCCGGACGGTCCTCCAAAACCCGCCATGCTAATGGAGGCCACCCCTGCGCTCGCGAGTGGATTCCAGTTATGGTGCACCTCCACTCCTTCTCCTTCGCCTCCTCCTCCTCTTCCTTCTCCATCGCCGACTCGACCGGCAGGAGCAGAAGAATAGGCTGTCATAGACGGCGCTGCTTCCATGAGAAAACAAGGGGAAGGGGAAGTGCTTCTCCGAGATAGAGGAACCGGTCCAAGTTCACCATGGAAAAGCTCGAAAGCCATGGCGAAGGCCGGACCATCCTCAAAGATGGGTCCGCGGCGAGCTGGTGGCCTTTCGCCGCTGGAACAGCCATAGCCATCGCCGTTGGCGGAGGGGAAGAAGGTAAAGGAAGTCGGCTCGACGATGCTGCGGAGAAAGGGGCATCGCTGTATCCCCTGGGAGATCATTGACCGCATGCAACCCCCTCCTCCTCCTCCTCCTCCTCCTGCTCCATAGCCGCGCCCTTCCTCCATAGTCATCGCCATAGCTGTGTGCTTCACCAAACCCCGAACAACCAATCAGCTAACAGCCTCGGCGTGTGGACTCTGGCCTTCGACTTCACGACGGAATCTCTGACTAACGATTAGGAAAATTTTGAACTCTGTTGCTTGCTCGCGGACGAGTGAATTGGGCTGATTGTTTTTCTACTTGTCATGGCACGTCATGGCACTTTCGCGCTCTCAGCACCTTTTTCCCACTTGTCAATTCGCCACTCTGTTTTGTTTTTTTTGGCCAAGGAAAAAGAGGCCGAGGACCCAAGAGCCTAGCTCAGTGGGTACACCATTGAACTGTTGAAATACAGCCCCGTGTTCGAACCTAGATGACGGAACTTGACGAGTAAACCCAAATGTTTCTGAATTGCCTGGGGCCGGTCAGCTCAATGATGATATCTCAAGACCGTCAAAAAAAAAAAAAAAAAAAAAAGAGGCCGAGGACCGGCCCGTCGAAGAGGCTCGGTCCTCATGCTACAGGCTGACCCCTGGGGCACGGTCCCACTGCAGATAGGTAGCCACGGGATAAGATGTTTCTCTACCTGTGCTACTGTAGAGCTGTGGGAGAGAAACAGCTACCGGGACAGAAACAGCTACCAAATCCTACCGGTAGTTATCGAAAGAGAACTGAGAACCCAGGAGCCTAGCTCAGTGGGTACACCCATGAACTGTTGAAATACAAACTTGTGTTCGAATCCAGATGATGGAACTTGACGAGTAAAACGAACTACTAATGAATTGCCTGGGGCCGGTCAGCTAATATCTCAAGGCCGTCGCCCTTTTAAAAAAAAAGATAAAAAAGAAAAAAAAGAGAACTGAGGGCATACTCACAAAGACCTGATTAGGCTGATTAGGCAGTTTTTCAGGCCACATTGGAGACGCCCGCTCCCCAGACGTACTTTCTGGTGACCCTTTTGTTCGCAGCCCATCAGGGGTGCGTTTTCCCCCTTTGAGACATGGAGACATTTTTTCATCGTACCGGTCGCTCATTATGGGTCGTTAGGTCGTTGGAAGGCTCGAAAAATGCAAGAAGGTGCAGGTATGGCACTTTGGGGGGGGGTGGCAGTTTGTCTGAAAAATGAGGGACCGGTAGCTGCCGGTGGGACCACCCTTTGGGTTTTGGTCGAAATCGAAACGGTGGCAAAGCAGGGGCAAATGGAAAGGGTGCACGGGTCGGGGGCAGGGGCCGAAAAGTCCGACGAAAGTGCGCAGGCCCGAAATCGAAACGGTGGCAAAGCAAGGGCAAATGGAAAGGGCGCGCGGGGC